GCTGAGCTATGTCTTGTAATTACTTTAGTGCTCACCAGGGTTTTTGCCTCTGTGTCTCAGCACTGAAAACATCTCTTTGTACCACTGATTTCCAATGGAATAAAGACCATATTAATGCCAAAGACTGCCACGGGCACTAGTTGTTCAGACAAATATGACCTCCCTCATTATTCAGTTTCACTCAACCTTTGCTCTAATTTACACCCAGCACTTTTTATCATAGGGACACAAGTAATCTAGAATTGCAGTAACTGTGAGTCATCAATCCTTAACGTTTACCTGAAGATTATTCTGCTGCTGCTCCAGTTCAAGCCTGCTCAACAGCTACGGCTAAACAAGTGAATAGAATGAGGATCTATTTTTTGTTCACTTACAGCTGCTGCTTGAGGTCACAATGTTTCAGCTTCAGGAGTTCCAGGAAGAGAGTTATGTGCAAAATGTGCATTGTGACACAAGTGCGGTATCAGTTTCAGGAGATTAGAGAAATCAATCTGCAGTCAGAGACAGAAAACCACTCCACTGCAACATCTGAAACATTTCATTGTGGAATCTGGTGCAGAGATCTTTACATTTAGTTTCAAATATTCCTTTTTTTTTTTTTTTTTTTAAGCACAATTTACGTTTGCTTTCACTCCACGGCCGGTCAGTTTTGTAATTCCGTACCCAAGTACACTTGCCTTGTCTGATGGGGTTTGTTTCACACAAAAAAACGTTATATATTAATTGTATCAGCCTTCTGCTTCATTGAAAAATCCATTAAAAAAAATTTGTTTCCAACATTTAAGTGATGTTGTGGTAGTCATGATAAAACCCTGCTCATACGTCAAATCTCAAACAGATGAGCTGAACTGAAGGTGAGCTCAGAGAAACTTCCTTCAGCAGCTTGATGCAAAAACAGCCTTCTCGTGTGCATTTACATTAATCTGCAGGGAGTTAACAATAAGCAAAACACACATTTGAGTAACATCTAAACCATCTCATTTAACCATGGAGGAAATATTTACATCTCCAGCAAACAAAGATCTGTAGATTACGGGTAGGTAACTTAATTTGGTAGAGAAATTTACTTTGGCTATGCAAAACTGTCTTCAGAGCTCTTTGCTGTCCTTCACTGGTGTTCACACACTGCAGGATATCAGATGTCTCCATCCATCTGCTTACAACAACAAGCCTGGTTTGTGGTCATTTCCTGCAGACTTACATTCTCACTTCTAACAAAATGCAATACGTTTGACTTGGAAAAGACTGAGGCCTCCATTTGTATTTTAAAACAGCAGCTTTCACCTATAAACCGAAGTAAAAACAATAAACTCCGGTCTACAAAGTAACAGTTTCAAACATCATTAACATCTTGCAGCCTTTAACTTAGAAATCAAGGGGCATGATTACAAGACGTTTGGCTGATGGGTGACTCACAGCTAACATCTGATCACTTAGGAAAGCCTGTAAAGCAGGATGCTGTAGAAGAGGAAGAGGCTGCTGACCTCCGCGTACGCAGATCACCTCTGGCAATGTTAACTGACAGCCTCTCTGTGTGCCAGCAAAGCCATTTGTTTTCGGCCTTGCAACTTAAGGCGCAGGCAGTGCAAAGAGGCAGCAAAATAATGAAATTGCTGTGTGAGAGGAAGTGAGGAAGAAAGAATGGAGGAGTTGTGATACGGTGGTGATAAAACAAATAGAAAAGGTGTAAAGCTGCATATGAAAGTTTAATGAGACAAGAAGTATGGAATGGAGAGATATATTAACCATTTTATCAATAATCATTTCTTTTCATACACGAAACACGTTGACAACAGTGTTCGACCATAAGATATCTGCCGACTCACCGTGTGCTTGAAAAGGTGAGAGAGAGAGAAACTAACTGCAAAATTTCCCCTGCACATGTCCAAAATACACAAATATTTGAGCTCAATACGATCAGAGTTTTGAAAGAGATTCAGAATTCCAGACATTATGACCAAAGCTTCCTTTTGTCTTTTAGGTGGGAAAGACATAAACACTGCAGGCCCAGAAGATGAGTTTTTTATCTGCTGCCACAAAGCAAGGCAGACGCAGCTCGACCGATCACTTGTCATATGCAACGTAACTGCCTTAAAGAAACAGTTCAATATTTTGGGAAGTACAGTTACTGTCACACGAGTAAAGTAAACCCAAAAGTGACGTTTCACAGGCATAACTGGACTGGATTTCTTGGCTGAGTCTCCAGGAAGTTACTGTTCCCGGCCAAGAAATAGTTCAGCACATAGTCCTCCATTTAGTGGCGGATTGCCGTGTTTACACTTTGGTTTTTTCTACAGATTAAACAAATGCAATACAGCATGTTAATTAGTAAGCTCTAGAGGTGTTGTTAGGTGGAATCGGTTACCTTTGGACAGAAGCAGGCCAGCAGCGTCCCCCTTGTTTACAGTCTTTTTGCTAACCAGCTGCAGATGAAAGTCAAGTGTTTCTAAAAAAAAGAGGAAGTACTATTCCTTTAAATGCCATGAATAATATGAACTGAAGCTTATACGCAACTACGTACACACCATGATTTTCATATTATTCTTTTCTCATATAAACAGTTTGTATTTGTATACTCTGCATCTCTTCTTGGTTTTTGTCTCCTTGATCCACTATTTTTTATCTCTATATGCTTGAACAATACAGATATATTTACATGTCAAACCAATAGAGCTAATTGAAAGTGAAAGTGAGAGAGGGAGGGACAAATCACAGGGCTGTGTTCTTAATCAAATCTGGCAAAAGAAGTGAGCTTCAGCTGTGGGGCTCAGGTGGATCTCTGGAGTCCACACACTCTTTCAGACAAATGTCTGGAAAATATCCCCCCCCCATCCTTCCCTCCGGACCACTCAGTCTCTCTGTTCTATTTTCCTTTTTTACTCTTCAGTCCTTCTATCCATTCATTCTTCAGCTTTACATTTCACTCCTTTTATCTCCCCATTATGACTGATGCACACACACACACCCATGTGCACACACACACACCCATGTGCACACACACACACACACGTGCACACACACACGTGCACACACACACGTGCACACACACACGTGCACACACACACACACACACACACACACACACACACACACACACACACACACACACACACACACACACCAGCCCACTGCCCTGTCTCTCAGCATCAGCATCACTGTGAAGTGAAAAGGCCAGCATCCCCATGAGATGTGGTCTTTGTTGATGTTGTTGTTTTGAAACGTGGGGATCTGGGATGTTGGTTGGGGCATAGTCGACCATTTGAAGCCACGGTGAGATAACCACAGTGAAGCAGAGCAGTAGTGGTAGTTGCAGGCCTCTGCCTCTGCTTATGCTGCTGCGAATACACTGAAATATATACTTCCTGCTTTCCACAAGCTCAAATTCTTTCCTGCTCTGCTCTCTTTACTGCCTGGAAGGTGCCGATCCAGGACAGATTCAGTGTCCAAACAAGTCCAAACAAATCAGATATCATCAAAAAGCTGCTTTTCAGTTCAACTGGACCAAATGAGGATTGGTATATCTTCCATACAAAACAAACATCTGTCCCTTGGAGCAACCTGTGATTCTCAAATAAATAATTAGCTCTACCTGACATGCATGCTATAAAAACCTGGATTCATCTTGAGGGAACACACTGAACATGCTCATCAGCGATGCCCTGTTTCACACATTCACACCTGGGAGCTGCAGCTACAGTCTGCTACTGTTGCACCACTGAGCCACTCTAATAGAGTTACACCTGATTAACTGCCTTGCTCAAGGGCAAAATGTCAGTGGAAAGAGAAAAGAGGTCCATGTTTGCACTCCACAGCCAGATTTCTCCAGTGTTTCTCCACAGTCACAATCTCCATCTGCTTCACTATAAACCTTCAGGCTACCACTACCCACTCATTCATTTGCACTAACTTTGCACTTAACTGCCTATCATGGAGCAACTTACTCAAACCCATCTGGGAACCCGGATCAATATCTGACCCCTAAACGGCGACCAGGGAGCCAGGCCCACTCTCGTGGGAAATTAGACATGGATTCAGCAGGCGATTTGGTTTGACTAGATAGAAGATGAAAATGTTTTTAGTCAGCGAGGCTTGCAGTCGCTGTATACAGAAGACACGGGCCCGGGGCAGGGTGATTCAGACGTGGGGAGGTGATGTGTAGCAGGGATTTCCCCTGGGCTGAAAGATGTAGCAGTGACCAGGCTGAAACCTGCCATCAGTTCAGGTGTTTGAGGGTGGGTGATGTGTGATGGTGTGAAAATGAAGAACTAGCCTATAGAATGTGTGGACAGTCACAGTACCATGGATTCATTCAAGGATGAGCAACCCAAAAGGCAATCAAACCCCAAACTCCTGGCAACATTGATCCACTGAAAATTGTTTTATGTTATAAGCTCGGCCTAAAGTCCTGTACTGCCTGAGCTTGGACACACTGAGACAATTGGCCCCACAGACACAGATATGGAAAAGGCCCCACCATCCTGCAACAAAGGAACAAGACACCTACACTGAAAGTACTGTGGAGTTGTTTTTGTCTCTTTCCGTGACATTTTGCCCCTGACCCCTTGGGCCACTGGGCCTGTGTCCGGTAGGTCTGCTCAGTAATCCATCCATGGTCCTGGTACACACTTTGTTATTTAAACTAAACTTCACATATTACAGAACCCCAGAAACATAATAGGACCAGATGAGGTGACATAAGCTACACTCTGTCTGTCTGACCAGCAGCAAAGGGCCATCTGTCCATACCCACCCATGTACTTCCTAATTTCGTCAGAAGCAACTTCATCACACTCACACACACACACACACACACACACACACACACACACGCACACACGCACAAATACACCCCCCTCCTCTACATTACAGGTCTTACACTGCACATGCAGTGGCAGGGGTCTTCACGTCACAAGCCTTCCTGCTCCCCTCCACCCCCCTGCCCAACCTCCACATCCCGGAATAAAAAAAATTAAATAAAATAAAAAGGCATGTCCTCTTACCCATCTGTGCCTGTGTCGGATCTCTTTCAGAGGTTCATGGTGGATGAGAGCCCTGCTGATCGGATTCTAGTCTGGTGGTTTTGCTGCAGAAACCGCTATGCCATCGCATTGATGATGCTGGAGTCTCGGTGATAACCGGGGGCCGGGGTCTCTCTCCCTCCCTCTCTCTCTCTCTCTCTCTCTCTGCTTTAGCCGGGTTAACGTTACTCTACAGTCATCTCTCAGTGTTTATCCCCCGCTACTCCGGTTTTATCTACCGGATCGGTTGCGCCGATGATCGTCCCGAGCTGGACTTAAGAGTGGATCCTGTCGGTTGTAGTGATGCCACAGCCTCCTCTCTTGGCTCTGGTGTTTATTAAACGAAAGACCGAGTCGAGGTTTGTCCAGAGGAGATGAAAATAAAAAGGGAGAAAATAGAAAACACCGAGCTGCTTGAGTGCGCAAAGGGATGAGCCAAACGGTGCAGAAAAGGATGGAGATGAAGAGATGAGGAGGGACACGGGGTTGACGGTGGGGGGGTGATCGCCGCTGTCTGCCGTCCTATTCGCCGTTTTCTGTCGTGTTTACGACCCACTGTCGCCTCCTCCCTCCGTCTTTTCTATCTCTCGCTCCGTGATGCGACTCCCTCTCTTCCGTCCTCCGCGCTGCGCTCTGCGCCCGCTGTGACGCCTTTTCCGCTCGTAAGAAAATAAGATCCCCCCCCCCTGCTCTCTTCTCTTTTACTTCTTTTTCATCATCTTCCCTCTCTGCCTCTTGATCAGACAGGCTTCGAGAAGGAGGGGGAGGTGGAGACGAGTGTGTGTGTGTGTGTGTATGTGTGTGTGTGTGTGTGTGTGTTTGGGGGCAAGTGAAAGAAAACGAAGGCAATGAAGGAGGGGCCCCGCGAGAAGAGAGCTCCTCCCCGTTATGCTGCTTATCAGCGGACGAGGGGGGCGCCCATCATGTAGGAGGGAGATATAAAGCAGGAAATATGAGTGGTGGAGGAGGAGGAGGAGGAGGAGGGATTGGTGGTTGTGAGTTTCTGCAGAGGCTTAAACAGACAAGACTGCTATTATTATTACTACTCTTTTGATACTTTGAGAAGTCTCCCTTACTAAATGGGACCTAAATATATCCAACCAAGTGAAAAACATGACTAAAAGTATGTGACCACACCAGAGCCCTCCTGAGGTTGTGATGCATATTACATACCAGAAATAGATCAAAATAGCTAAAATGTAAAGTGACAAGTAGGGCTTGACATACCACTTAGATTTAGTGTTATCTAGCGGTGTAGTTAGTGATTGCAACTCCCTCGCTTCACCAAAATCATAAGTGGCCCCTTTATAGAGCCAGTGTTTGGTTTGTCCATTCTGGGCTATTAAGGTAACAAAAACAACGCTTGTTATTATCATCAGGTGAAAATACACTAATGGAAACACACACTGGACCTTCAAAGGTGGGTTGAGGGATTCTAGGTAATGCAATTTTAATCCAGTACACTTTGTTTTCCCAAATTCAGTGAATGTCTCCTCACGGTCTGCTAACTTTCCACTGTGTGTGTGTGTGTGCTGAAAAATTGGCGAAGAGGATTGGACCAGGCCACACAACACTAAGCCTGACTTGTTATTGCAGTTGCAGTTGCAGTTGCAATATAAGGGTGACATGAGAGGCTCAGTGGCAACGTCGACCTTAAAAACAAGTTGCTCTGCTGTCCACACAATAAAATTCCAGGGTCAATGGAAATGAAGTCCCACCAAATATTCCACTGAAATATACCATCTAACAAACAAACTAATCACTGGTAAAAGGCGCCTACAGTTACAATACTTGGTTGTGGTTGTTTGCATGGTATCCTGGTATTTGTCATGCTATTTAAATATAGCCATTTTGGAAGATACACATACTGTATTCACTTCCTAACTGAGAGTTATAAGATCAATCTCTCATTCGTCTGTTCAATATGAACCTGGAGCTTAGCATAGTCAATTAACACAATCTTATTTATTTTGTACAAAACCCGAGGCTAAACCACAAATTGCAGCTTTTACACTTTGCTTTTTGTAAGGATTAAACACAACATGTTAATAAGTGAGCCAGGGTATAAGGCTAGAGGATTATCCCACCTGTTTCCCCCGTTTCCATTCATTATGCTAAGCAAAGGTTACTGGCAGCTGGATCCAGATTCATATAATTCAATACACATTTTAGCACATTTCACAATGTGTATTGAATAGACATTGATCTCATCTGTCTGCAAGAAAACAAATAAGCATTTTTCCCCAAAACTGCAAACTCCTTTAAATCAAAAGAGTTTATACTTTGTTCTTACACATACCGGTACTGTGCATGGTCAATCTCACACCATGGGTTGGGTTTAAAAACCTTAAAAGCACATACTTTGGTTGACATAGGGCATCCATATTTGCCTTGCCATTAGTTGGATTTATCAGGGCTAAGATAGTTCTAACTACGACTTGGACGTTGACAATACCATGAATATTGACAAGTTGGAAACTGGTCACTATCGTAACCATCAGATGACATAAATGCAGCATTGACTGTCTCAGCAATGTGTTTACATGCACAATGTGCAATGTGTTTTTTTAATATCCTTATGTGTTTGTGCTTGCACATTGTGCAACCTGGATGAGACCTTATCCCAGTTTTAAAAAAAATTGGAACATGCTACATTTTCTGCTACAAAAAAATACAGGATTTCTTGTTCAATTTTCTCACCATTCTGTGCCACGTGTGCAGGTCCTTCCTATACTTAAGTTAGTCAGTTAAACAAAAAAGATAAACAATGCAATAGTGGTCTACGTGAAATCAAAAGGAAGGTCTGACACTGGTAATGTGGATAATACATTGTTTTATTGCTCTCATCTTCAATTACAGATGATTAGAGAGAGAAGCCAAAATCCAGCAAAGTGGTAAATACTGAGTCCAGGCCGAAACCAAACTGGGTTCATGCTCAATTTTTAAATTAACTCAGTGGATCCAGAAATGACAGACTTGGTGGATGCACCACTGCAGGCAGAAAGGAATTACATTATTTTATATGTTCAAATGTTTTGTTAGTGGTGGACATACTAAAATATTTAAGTATAATTTATCAAAGTCTTGTATGACTAAAAGGTTTTGGAAGTAATATGCAAAGTATAAAAAGTTAACTCAACAATGAGACAATTTACTGTCTGTTGTAATCATTGATGCATTACTCTGTAATAAGTAGACCTATTACTGAATTGTTAAACTTACCTTACAACTCACTACACCGGTCTGCCCTCCGGTACATTACCCGATAAGATTGAATGGCATTACTAAAGGAAGCGGCACTTGCGAGCGAGAAAAGTGACATGCCTTACTGCCACCCATTATCATCCAACACCTTCCCAGTTTTGCAGTCAATTTATTTATAAGTGCAACATTTCCCATCTCTCCCTGTCAATGCCACTGCTGCATGAGTCGTATTGCTGCCCGTTTCTTCAGCCCCCCACACCAGTCCAGCTTCCACCTGCAGGCTGCGTGTAAGGGGTTTCAGATTTTTCCTCATCACACATGCTATAAAATGTCTATGTAAACGTATTTGCGGAGAGTGATGTCGGAGCCTAGACAGAAACGCCAACTATGTTCTGCTGCTGTAACAAACATTTCCGAACTTCAGTTGTCTGGAAATTTCTTTGGAAACCAAAATGTTCCTGTTTCTCACACTGGTTCAGCTTGTTTCCTTTAAAATCAGAGCTCAAACCACCGACACAGCTTTTACCTCGGATTAATACATGCATTAATGTCAACGTGAACAGGAACAGGAATGTCAAACATGCTTGCAGTGAGCTGTATGTGGGTGGACTAGCTACGAGCACTTTGTATTTGCACGTTTTGACTTTTCTCTTTCCATCAGTCTCATTACTTTTTCTTTTTTTATGGCTGACAGAAGAAGGACAACTGATTTTCATAAAATTTTAATGCATGTGGAACTTTTTGTGCACATTAAAACTCAGCCATGGTAACACACCTTTACTTTTTTAGTACCAACCTACATGTGTCCATATCAAAAGTACTGTTTGCTGTCTGGTGATGTGTAAATGTGTGTAAATACTGCTGGCTGTATAACGAATTTCCCTTCAGGGATAATAAAGATACCCTTGAACCGTTGGGAGTATATTGAACCCTGTACTTACAGTTCTTTTACAACTGCTTGTGTTTCCTAACATTTAGGCTTATTCAAGAAGTGTAAAGGAGTAATTCCACATCAATAAGTAGTATCAAACTATAGTTTCATATGAACCTTTTGAGACCAAAACAACTTCCTGGATCTACCCGTGTATATTGGCACTCCTTGACACTTGAATATATAGATCTGCATGACTGGCCTGATGCTCAAGGAAGCAACTGAAAGGTAACTGAAAGTCTACAGGTGAGCTAGTAGCTCTGTGAGACTGTATGCCTTGAGCTGAATGCTGATCATCCTCACAATGACAACACAAACATGCTGCGCATATACTGTTTATCATGGTCAGTTAGTTAGTTTAACGTTTTCTAATTGGCACAAAATACAGAGTAGAGCTGAAGCTGGTGGAAATGCCATTATGCAGGCATTTGGTCATGAATCAAAGTATCCAACAAGTTAACATTTTGACCTGATGATCGTGTTAGGTAAAAATTCAGGGGATCACGAAAGTTATTACAATTCATGCTGAGGGGGACATAAACAGCTGTACAAAATTTGAGAGATATTAAGTCAAAAAATTTCAACAAGATGACATTTAGTGGTGCTAGAAGACAGATTAGGGGCTCACCAAAGGAGGCATCAACTACCCAGCCATTGCATGAATATGTTCAGTTTTAGCTTCATCACAGGAGGCCTCGGATACTCAGATGCACTGGTCTAGGAATTTTTCCAGCTTTTGACAGTTTGCGAAGACAAACTTGGGTTTACTAATGTCTTCCAGTGTATGTTTGTTCTATCATTTTGCAGCAAGAGTATTAGTTTGGTAATGTAACCCTTGTGAGGCTCTATTACTCTGAATAAGCACTCAACTACAAATAAATCTCCACCTTTTGTATATTTGCCAACTCTTATCTTCTTTCAGTGGAATAAAAGGGGAGGACCATGAGTGACTGTGTGACACACAATACAGTTTTTTTTTCTCTCTCTCATTTCTGGCAACAGTGTCAAATATCAGGTTACAGTTGAGTCACTTTTTCTCAGTCATGCCTAGAGACAGTTGTTTACTGATGTCAACAATAAGTGAAGGTGCTCATTATTTGGAAGCGGTGATACAGTTAAATCTTACAATGGACTATGACTACTTGCTTTATAACGAGTGCCTGGGTTGGCGCAGTACGTCATTGAAGTTGCCAGCGCTTCAGCTTGTTAGTTACATACAGTAAATACAGCTGGATGTGAGGCCCCCAGTAGTGCAACATCCCTCTCATCAGCCTGAGATCATCTACCCCACAGCCTCCATTTGCTCTGCCTCTGAGCAGTTGGCTTCTGTTGGATGGGGGCTTATAGACCCACATATCAGGCTGCTTCTGCCTTTTATCAAATATTGATATCAGCCTGTCAGCACATGCAATGCGACAGAGGCAGAAATACCTGGAGACCCATCATATCTGGAACATGGTTTGAAGTGAAAAGCCTCTTCCAGGTTTTGTTCTATTGTTTTTTCTGTGAATTTGAGTGTTTTTAGCAACCCAGGAGGTGTTTATATCGTACAGGTATTTTACAGACTGAATCCAACAACTTATCACTATACATACATTTGGCTACTTTTAGGCCACAAGAAATACATAAATAAAAGCTTGGGCTGGGTGACGTCAGTGCCTGTTGATACCTTACTGTGGGGGCCACAAACAAATTTTGACACTTTTTTCATTAAACAAAATATATCAACCT